GGTGATTTAGTGTGGTTGAAAACTAACAGAATATCTTCAGCTGAAGATGATTTTATAAAGAAATTCTTCCTCATTTATGAAGGGCCGTTCATAATTTCCAAAATTGTTTGTCCAAACTCATATGAATTAACTGCTCCTGAGACAAATAAAATCAAAGGAACATTCAATGTCACGCATTTGAAACCGTATCATCATTGACTTAGAATCATTGGAATGATTTGCATTATGCATTTCAAGGAACGATGTAAATGAGAATTTATTGAATAATTACTTCTAGTAATTACTCAATAAATTGGTGGGACGATGTAACGGCACAAGTTCACATCAAGAAATAAATAATCTCAAGATGGCACACACGGTACATTGCCATGAACGTGACAACGAAAAAAAAATGAAATAAAAATAGAAATAATTTTGACTCTGACATCAGTCAGAATTATAGAAAGAATAAATTTCAAATTAATATTAAAAGGCAACAACCACGGTAAGGAACATAAGTTTTCATGTAACGTGTGCCCATATTTCAATTATATATTCGATTTACAGCAAACGGCGTGGTTGTAATTTCTGAATCTGATATCTATCAGAAATCCCTGGACGAGGTTCAGCTGTTGTTAGTCGTATACCTGTTATCATCTGCATCGTTCCATTTGGCGAAATAGAATCTGTGAGAGGGATTCTCTGCTGCAGAAGACAGCTATATTGAACAGTTCAGTTGCCCAACCATCAACTATCCTTTTGAATCAATACCTACTTCAACTTTATGGTAAGATTGTTCCAAGTTTTAATGAACTGCTTTTGAGGGAGTGTGAAACTCAGTACCTAATAGTGACCTTTTTCTTGTGCTTCACGACCAATATGGAAAACAGACTATGCTTCATGTTTATTAATTATTATTTCTGTTGATGATGATGATATTGTCATCATATAATCAACTGATTTGTTGATCATTCATTTGCGATATTTTATTGTTAATTCATTAATTGTTACCACCGAGGTTCAGTTTCATAATTATTCATTTATTCATACATCCATTCTAGTTCCATTTAGATATAGTTGAATTTGTGAGGTTTTTGGTTCTGGCAAAATACGATCTGAAATAGTTCAGTTTGTATGGTTATTGATAATATATCTGTGGATATCCGATATTTGAATCTTTCTACCCAAACCCCATAAATTTATATACAGGAGAGATAATACAACACTCTGTATCTCAGAAACGATTAACTTTCGGACATATATTTATACAAACTTTTCTTCTTATTTTGACATGAGCAACATGCTCCTGAATTTTCTACACGTACTCAAGAAACACCCTGTATATCAGAAAAAGTAAAGCAACATTCTTAACACGTATAATTCGGTAATATGTGTTTGGATATTTATATCTCTTCAATACTCATTACTCATTACTCAATAGACTGTCATTTTGGTGTGATGAAAATGGAATTTTGCCTGAAATTCAATCCAGATTTAGGAAAGGCAGAGGGTGTATTGACAACGTCTTCATACTGAACTCTATCTTACAAATTCACTTGCGATTGAGAGGTAGAAAAATTTATGCAACTTTTGTGGATTTCAAAAGAGCGTTCGACTCACAAAATCACGAGTTACTCTGGCACAAGCTCTATTGATTTGGAGTCAGCTCAAAATTAATTCGAATAATTAAAAATCTATATGATAAGGCCACCATGAAGGTGAAAAATGACTTCAGTAAAAAATATGATATCACAGAGAGAGTTTTGCAGGGTGAACCGCTAAGCCCTATTTCATTTTCTTTATTTCTCGCCGACATAGAAGAATATTCTTGCCTAGAAATCATACTAGCGTTAACATCGATAGCATCAATGATATCATGATGTTATTATATGCTGATGACCTAATAATTTTGAGCGATTCTCCCATTGATTTGTCGCGCAAGCTACGAACTTCAGAAGAATACTCAACAAAAAATAAACTAACAGTAAACACACAAAAAAATGATTTTTTGCAAAGGCGACTACCAAAGCAATTATAAATACAAGTTCAACTTATTCAATGAACATCTGGAAGTTATGAAAAAAATCTGATGCCTAGGTATAGAGTTCTCATCCTCCGCAGTTTTTCTGGAAATGAGCAAATCGGCCACAAAAAAAAGCTAATCAGTCAGTCGGTGCCGTTATGAACTTGTTGATCCGCTCCAAAATCAACTCCTGGGAATCCAGAATGAAACTATACGAATTGATTGTATTATCATCATCATTGAGGTTTGGGGTCTGCGGTATGCTGATATAGTGGAACGAGCTCAGGTAGGATTTTTTAAACGTTTCCTTCCTCTTCCAAGGAACACTCCTGATTATATTGTTCGCTTGGAAACATCATCCACCCAACTCAGACTAATAATCTTCAAAGCAGTTTTCTTATTGCTTATTGACATCAAACTATTGGAAGACTCTCGCCGTCCAAAAATCTGCTTCTTGGAACTTACTGAATTGAATAATACAGATGGAAGGTACAATTGGGTTGAGCAGGTGAAGCAATGTTTTTTGTTCGCTGATGAAGAACAACGCTGGCAGAATTTCTTATTGTACGTCTCCAAGAGTGATACTGCCTGTGTTTTAGAAGCATTTCAAAGGAAATTACTGCGTTATGATTTAGAGAGATCATCAAATTATTCATATCCCCTTATCTACCGAGATCTGTGCTTGTGTTTTGATGGCCAAAACTGCCTGAGAGCTTCTCTGCCCATGTATATTGTGAGACTGATCACTCAATTACGAACTTGCAGCAAAAAATCCGCAGATTAACGTTCAACGGCCTAGTTTACTCAATCGACACTGAAGTAACATGTTCAATTTGTAACCGACATGAAATCGAATCACTTGAACATGTCTTGTTGGTATGTCCAATTTATAGAGGCATACGGGAAAATGAACTTTTCGAGCATCTGAATAATATAGAAGATTTCACTCGGCTTTTGAGCTACGGAACACTTTTACAACTCAAAACCTTGGTTCACTCTGTGATGAGCATTTTGAAACTCAGGTCATTCATTATCAACGAATAAACGTTGGGATAAATATAGAAATTGCTATTCGAATTTTCTTTCCTTTTTTTTGTACACTACTCACACTTCATTGGTTCTTGAACTCATAAGCAAATACACTCCCCGACAATAAATTCCGGACAGTGAAATGTTTAGCAAAATTGTTCGCCCTGTAACTTTCGTTATTCTCTTCCGATTCGGATGAAATTTCGACCAAAGCGTAAAATTATGTTTCGCCAAATCAGCCTGATATTTTGTTACAAAAAACATCTATTGTCCTAATCATTATACAGGGAAAAACATAGTAACTTTTTTACCCTCAACTTCTTAACGCCCTGTGGCAAAAGTGAGCAATTAAAGTCAGTTTCATCATCAGTATTGGAATGTGATTCCTTCTTAACAAAATGGTTCATGAATCACGTCGATACCTTTTCTTGAAGAGAAGATGCAAGTGTTTCAAGAAAATATGGCATTTTTTATATTCATCAACAATTATTCAGAACTTACAAAAACACTTTAACAACTTCAAATGAAAAACAAACAACTAAAAATCAATATCGCGTATCAATTGCCACCGCGTTTTCCTAGTACTTCCTCTATGCGACGAGGCATACTTTCAATGCAGTTGTCGATGGCCTCTTGCAGAATATTTTCCCGTTCTTCTAGGAGGGCTGTCCGCAAATCCGGTAGTGTTTTTGGGTGGCGATTGCGAACACGTCTACCCAGCATGTCCCAAACGTGCTCAATAGCATTCAGGTCGGGACTACGCGGGGACCACTCTAATCGCAGAATATTTACCTCGTCCAAGTATTCTGTCACGATTCGCGCAACATGAGGCCTGGCATTATCTTACATCTTGCATTAAAATAAAGTTTTGCCCAACAAAGCCGCAAGGGGTACGACATGTTCAGCTAAACATTGTCGGATGTAACGATCAGCAGTTAAAGAACCATTTTCTATGAGCACCAGGTTCGTACGAGCATTTAATGATGCTGTTAGATTGATGAGATGGTCATCACGTTGGTCTACCTGATCCCCTACGTCGTATATGTACTCACCAGTCTGACGAAAACGATAATTGCATCTTGTACAGTACTTTTTACTGTGCCTAAGTATTTTGCAATATACCGTATACTACGACCATCATCATTCAAGGCAACAGCACGGGCAACATCCTCGGGTCTCATTTTCAACACACACAAAAAAACAGTTCATTATGCAATGGCAGAATACTGACACTTTGTTAAACAATACTTTTAATGTTACTACGCAACCAAAGACCAGTGATGAATGAGTTCACGTAGGTTGTGGAATATTGTTGATAAAAATCAAATATGCCATACTTTTTTGAAACCTTTGTATCTTGTCTTGAAAAGAAGATATTGACGTGAATCAGAGAACAGATATATTGAGAAGGAATCCCACTTCGATACTAAACATAATGAAACTGATTTTGATTGCTCACTTTTGCCACAGAGCGTTAAGAAGTTGAGGATAAAAAAGTTACTTTTGTTTTTCCCTGTATAATGATTGGGACAATAGATATTTTTCGGAAAAAAATATCAGGCTGATTTTGCGAAACATAATTCAACGCTTTGGTCGAAGTTTCATCGAAATCGGAAGAGGATTACGAATGTAACAGGGCGAACAATTTTGCTAAAAATTTCACTGTTCGGAATTTATTGTCGGGGAGCGATGTATACAGTTTTTTTTCTCTCTCTTATTTTTAGAATCTTGAGATATAGTATTATGGAAACAGATTGATATAATTTTTTCGTTTTTCAACTCGAACTCCAACCCTTGTAGTAAGAATTATAATTCTTTTGATACAATAAATGATCTATCTATCTATTTATATCTCTTCAATGGAGGAGGAAGTTTATCAATTCCGGAAAAAGCATGGGTATCAAATTCCTGCTCTCTGTATCATTTTTATTTCCTGTGATTATTTCTTATCAAAAACCGAAGTTATATATATTTGTTGCATGATTGATGCAAAACAATTCACAGTTTCATATCTTGCAAATATGACTTCTCTGAAACATTTCGTATTACTTATTTTCATGTGTTTTATCGTGTTTGCTGCATCAGTTCCTTCTTCAAGATCTTCGAGAGATGTATCACAAGTAAGTAATCATACCAAATGATCTGTATCTGAACTGCGGTAACTCAAAGAAGTCTTATTCAAACCGGTTTGAATGATTTCATTTGTGAAAAAATTCACATCAACTCGGATTCCCTCATGAAACTAACATAGTTACCAGCTGAAATGAATAGTGATTCACACGAGACAAACGAGACGAGACTTTCATGAAGTCTCGTCTCGTCTCGCCGATAAAATATGAAGTCTTGTCTCGAGTCTCGTCTCGCAGCCCCGAGTCTCGTCTTGTCTCGCGTCTCGTACGAGAGTCTCGCAAAAGTATCGCAATTTCGTCATGCATAATCTTGTTCCAGTCTAGTACGGGATATTTACCTCTACCTACTTTTTAGGTATAATGTAGAAGTAGGAAGAGAAAATTACAACAAAAATAACATTATTCATTGAAAAGTAAGTACCTAATAGGTACAAACTTACATCATACATCTAAACAAGAAGAAAAAACATAGAATTATATATTCGAAAGTTATAAAAATGAAATAAAATGTAACACGTTTGTTCTAAACAAATAAACAAAACAAAAACTTCAATCCAACATTATTTTACTTATTTAAGAAATGGGTATCTGAGAAAATAGTGATTTGTTTTACTAGGCAGAAAATTAGTCAATCTACATTTGCTGCCGTGTGAAACATAGAATTTTTTCTCCAAATGATATGAAACCATTTTTGTGTATTTTTTTTATTGAAAACTCCATCATTTTGTGTTCACCCAATGTCAGTGTCGATTTGATTACTAATTTCATTAGAATTTTTTGGAACGTTGCATAGCAACAAACTTTTTCTGCTTAGGCAGCAAAAGTACACCTTTTCTGCCTGTTAAGCGGCAGGAAAAAGCCACTACCCCTGCCGATTGGAGAAAAAAAACCTTTATCAGTCAGATCAGCCTTTACGATCGCGAATGTTTCTGTTTTTCACCCAGTCGTTAAGTCATAAAAATTCTTTCTAAATATGTTGTATTATGAATGTAATTCTCAAGTCTGCAGTCGGCACGCAAAAATATTTACCTGCGAGACTCTCGCACGAGACACGAGAAGTCTTGCACGAGACTCGAGACGAGACCAATAAAAGTCTCGTCTCGTCTTGTCCGAGTCTCGTCTCGAGTCTTGTCTCGAAAACGAGACGAGACCATGCGAGACTCTCGAAAACGAGACTCTCGCGGGCACCACTAGAAATGAAACTTATTCATATTGAACTAATTTGATATACTCATAATACAGAATGAAAACGTAGCAGCAAGAATATCCAGGAAGAACCCAATAACTTTTCATCTCAGGAAATATGACATCCGTATCGATGGTTTGGAAAGTATGTCGTACCCAGATCTCAAAGATATAATTCGTTCACAATATGTAGAAGATGCTGAAGAAGGTAATATCCAAGGTTATAATTGATTATACTAATCTAATAAGAATAATTTAAAGTATGAAAATTGAAATGTGATTCACAATGTGAAGGTGATCCTGCTTTAGAAAAGATCATTCATATTGAAATACTCATCACATAGTTATGGGTCCATATACATCATCAGAACGTATCGACACAGACCGTCGATTAGTAGGAATTTATTTGACTAGAATAGTAAGAAATCAGAATAGCAAATCATCAGAACCATATTTCAGCGACTGCAATATGTACAACCCGTAATTTGTCGAACCGTACTTTGACAGACTGCATTATGTCAGAATGCATAAATCACAATAGTATATCGAAAGACTGCCATATATTCAGAAGTGTACTTTGCCAAACCAGTAAATGAAATACTCTTCATGTCGTCAGAATCATAAAAATATATAATCGTAAAGTCATAGAACCGTAAAAGCACGACAGACTGTAATTCAGCTACCCGTACTCTGTAGACCACCATTTCATCAGAATGAACATTCCCGACCAGCAAACTGGCAGAATTGTGATGTACAGAATCTGAAAATGGCAGAATGCGAAAAGTTCATACCCGTAAAAAGACAAACTGTCGATTTTTGATACCCGTAAAATGAAAGATCCGTACAATGACAGACTCGTAAAAGCACAGACTGCCAATACTCTAGATCCGTAAAATGCAAGAACCGTACATCGACAGACTCATAATCCATCGGACTACCGGAATTTCCGATCCATAATTCATCAAAACCGTAAAACGACAGACCCGTAAAACAGCAGAATCGTAAAATGACAGACTCGTACAATGGCAGAATCGTGCAGCTACCAAACCCGTAAATTTTCAGAATTTTTTTGATTAAGACCCGTGAAATAGCAGAACCGTAAAATGGCAGAACCGTACATTGACAGACCCGTAAAACATCAGAACCGTACATCGACAGACCGTCAATATACCAGAATGTGTGAGACGCGTGGAGACTCGGAACAAGCGGTAGCGCATTGTTGCCAAGTTGAATCGATAGAAATTCCTTGCTATACCTACTCAAATCTGATTCAAACTGTTTTATGAAGAATTCTAGAGGGCTGAGAAAGGTTCGTACATTGTAGTATTTGTGTTTGATAATCTGTTTGATCCGAATCAGGAAGATATTGACATGATAATTTGATTGTATCTAGATAAAGAAGTATATATCATTCTTTTTGTTGAAAGATCATATAACAAAACATCAGACATGTGAATATAACGATGTTTTCTATGTATAATAGGTGAATCTATTCTCGGAGATTCTATAAGGCAGAAATGGAATCATTGTATGTCCATTTCTGAACATATAAATATTGGAGAAAAACATCAAACTTTCAAACTTTTCTATAGTCCAATGTTCTGAGATTCGGATCAGAGTGTATACCTTTCAATTTGATTCTCCAATTAAATAGTAGATAATATAAATAAAGAACTTGTAGCATTTGTATATCGCTATTTCGTTTCGGGAAACCTACTCCCCAAGAGTTTTCGAATCTAGTGATTTCTTATTGTCAATTGTGCTCAAATCCCTCACATGATTTCAGTTATAGATTATATACAGGGTGTCCCAAAATTGCTCTACTTGAAGTAGAGGTCAAAATAAGTTGATTGGACCCAATTCGTATATATACCAAAATGTTCCGTTCGTCAATGGGGTACTTTGTATGTGATCAATGAGGTACTTTGTATGTGATCAATTTCATTTGCGTGCCGGATATCATAATGACTTCATTCATCTTCTATGAAATGTCAAATCTCAAGCAATGACGGCTCGAAATACCGCCTGTTGGTTGATCGAGGAGGTGTTACATACATTTTACTTGATTATTTGGGATTTTCCCTCCTCGCTTCTACAAAAGAATAATATGAGCATAATTTCAATATACAGTGTGGTCATTTAAGTGTGCAACATATGGGAATCTTCTTAATGAATTGCACAACCAAAATACAGATAGTGCCAAGAGTTGGTGCATGTTCGATCATCATTTCAGGTGCACTCAGAATAGTTGCAAGTCAAACAGCATACAGGGTAGGTAAAAAGATATAAAAAGTGCTCAGGAGTAAAGTACCCGTATTTCAAAAAATTCAGCAGAATGTTATTGAGAAAAGTTGTTCACAATTAAAATTCATACCTCAATACCAAAACATGGCTTCCTAAGACATTCTTCAGTTCTTCAAATCCTTTCGTTAATAAATTCCCATTTTTTTTTTCAAATTCAAGCATATTTTTGCATTCAACTTGGATTTCAATTTTTTTAGGAAATCACAAACTTCATGTTTGTTGCAACGATATTCAGCTCAATTTTGAAATTTTGCGAACCCTATTTTCAACAAGGTAAAACATCATTAATGATAATATGCATATTCAAAAACCTTCATTTAATGTGAATATTTTGTATTTGAAATGTTTATGAAAAAGCTGAACAAATTGATCGACAACCATGATATCTTTTGAAAAATCACGGACACCCAAGAAACAGAACAAATGAGGGTTGACAGTAAATATTGAGGCAGTTTGGTGACATACTCCTTATCTAATGATGTTTTACCTTGTTGAAAATATGGTTTGCGAAATCTCAAAATTAAGCTGTATATCGTTGCAACAAACATCAAGTTTGTGATTCCCTAAAAAAATAAAATCCAAGTTGATTGCACAAAAGTGCATTAATTTGAACAAAAGTATGATCAACTGATTTTGTTATGATCAAATTATGAAAGTGTTTAGGGTGAATATAAAAAAAATACAAATTGGGAAGTTATTAATGGAACAAATCGGAACACTAAAATATGTCTTAGGAGGCCATGTTTTGGTATTCAGGAAAAACATTCAATTGTAAAGAACTTTTTTCCATAACAGTTTGCTGAATTTCCTGAAATAAGAGTACTTTACTCCTGAGCATTTTTTATATTTTTTGACCTACCCTGTATGCTGTTTGACTTGCAACGATTCTAAGTGCACCTTAAATAATTACCGAACATGCACCAACCTTTGGCACTATCTGTATTTTGGTTGTGCAATTCATCAAAAAAATTTCCATATGTTGCACACTGTACAAGTACAGAGGATTTGCCCCAAAATTTTACTGAAATTCAAATGGCACTCTGTATGAATAATTTTACGTAAGTCGATAGAGCGAAAAAATACCTTTCAAATGACATTTGTTTTCAAAATGGCGGATCATGCAGGAACCTTTTTGTCTGCAATAATCATGGACACATTGTGACGTCATCCGTCGAATTTTTGGCAAGCATCCTTATAAAATAAAAAAATTTACGAAGCACTTGGATTAGTTATTGATGGAACATATTTTTTAACGCTTGAAGCGCACGAAAGGAAATCCCTATGATAATTTGTTTTTATTAAGTCATCATTTCAAACAATTTTCTTCCTAAATTCCCCCAAGAATGTGAAATAGGAATGGTACTTTATTCAAGGAAAGTTCAGTATAAAGAGGTCATTATGTTGTTTTTATAGGAATATCGAGGAATGTTAAATGAAAAAGTTGTTTGAAACCACCCAAACTTTTATTTTGTGTAGTTGTTTTATATACAGTGTCATTCGTTTTTTCGGGTAGGCTATTAGCTTTGTGTTTTTTTTTTCAATGGAACACCCTGAATTCAGCTTTCCATGAAGATTTCGAGAATTCAATAGTTGATAGGATGTTCCATTCGAGAAATTGTCTATTATAAATGTGGAAATTGAGAATGAAAATCAACCTGTTTCAGGATATCCCTTGGAAATATTGAGTTTGGCTCGAAATTCTTTTTTATTTAATTTGACATGTGATGTGGAACTTTTCAAAACTACGGAAATATTGAAACTTCTCACTTTTCGTATAACCTGTGGTGTAAAGTGAAATATAACATAACTGGTTTAACTGGTGATGAAATATTATTCACTACAGCACCAGTTACGTTATTGAATATGTGGTTGGACGAAAAGAATAATGCATTTCAAGCTGCTTTCTCAATATCAGTTGGAAAAACTGAACTTGAATCAGCCATTTTCCACTGATGGAAGTATCGAACGAGTCTTTTTCGTGAATTTGGTCACTAATTTGCGACCATATTATTTTATGACGGATACTTCGAAGTGACGGGCGGAGTCGACTTGCCTATACTCAATTTTTGTACATAATCGGTAGAATTCATGTAGAAATGATGGTCATTATATCATCTGTTCGAGCGAAAATTTTTAGCAAAATTAGAAAAAAAATTTCACGTAATACGTTCGTTCGCCCCGCATAATCCCGTCGTCAAACGAACTGACGCGTTTCCTAACTACTGGTTACGTAGAAAGGACTGTACATTTCGAATTTACACTTCTTGGACTACCTCCATATCTACGAAGTTCCTCAGCGATAAATGCGCTAATGCCAAATTGAAACTTTATCTCATAGAAAATTTCACTCAGAAACTATAGTGGCCCACTAATTTTCTTTTCGGGTATGATTTTGGAGGCATGAACTCTGATAGTGATATAGATTTTTATATTTATATTTTGTATGGACATGGATCGTGAAGTGTTCAGTTCTTGGGATACAAGGAGTTGAAGTGTTTTCGCAAAAACTCATCGAGAACGATTGAATATGACGAACGACGTATAGGATTTCTACTTGAAATACAGTTCATCTCCATTGAATATTCATCACCTGATCAGGAAGTCATTCTACACGTTTTATTCAGTGATGTGTTATACAGCTCTACGACGGGTTGTGTTAGTTTCTTCTTCCATCATATTTGTTACGCCAATTCAGAATTTTTTTAATAATCAATCTCTTGAATTTTTCTTCAAATTTTGTTAAAAAGCGCATAAACTTCATATGAGCTGAATCAAACTGTTCCCTCACTTTGGATAGCAGAGTATCACAAATACATTTTATGACTATATATAATGCTTTGATGAGTCGTACGTCGTACTTCTCAGTTTCTTTCTAGTAACGTAGCTGAAAAGAAATAGTTATTTCAGGTAGAAATT